TCCAAAACGTTTTTTTGATGTATTTTCGTTCTTTTCATGTGTTTTTGAAATGGTAAGTAATTTGTTTTGCAAAACCTGTGATCATTGAAGTCCATGAGATGATATTACGATCTTCCATAAGACTGAAGACTCGGGAAGCTGTGCCAGTGCTTCCCCATTTGGAATACATAGAGATCAAAGCGTTGCAGATGGGTGGATAAGATTAAGCACCTGGGATTGGATTTGCTCGCTTTTTCTCATCGAACCAATACTTGCAACTCCACTCAACAAGCTAGAAAAATGTGAAAGAGCTAACACCAAATTCTCTCTCTCAGTGATCTCAGGGAAAAGCTCAAAAGCTCTCCTAGCATCTTCCAAACTGTCACATTTGACAAACATGCTGATAACCGAGTTTGCCACACAGTTATTCGAAGCAAAACCTCTCTTAAAGGCATGACCAAGGACCTGTTTACCTACCCGTGGATGTGCAAGATTTCCGCACGCCTTGAATGCGATCGAGAAAGTGAAAGGATTTGGTTGGACGCGACCTTGGGTAATCATTTCGCAGAAGAGATTAACAGCCTCTGTATGAAGATTACAATTTTGCGCATAACTTGTGATCGATGCCATCCACGACATAACCTGCATTCATTTATAGAAAACCTTTCTGCAACCATCAACCGAACCATCAAGAGAACATTTCGCATACATATCAACCAAACTACACCCAACATCATCCGCGAGTCCTGCTCTAATGTGGCCCAAGAGTGAAATTCCTTTCCCAGGGACAGATTCTCCAACTCAGCACATGCCGAGAAAACAGAGCTTAGTGTGAAGTGATCTGATTCAAATCCGCTTAAACCCTGATTGCTTCCCTAGGAAATCCCATTTGCCTACACTAGTAATCATCAGTGTCCCAGTAACAACATTTAGTTCAGACATTTTACCGAACACTTTATAGGATCCAATTTTTATTTAACACTTTCTCTAAATACCTAACCACAACACCAATATTTAATCTCATATAACCTCCTACCCTTTAATGATAGAGGAAAATACCAAAAACCCC